TACTTATGTTACTACATGAAAACTTTGGGGCAATGAAAAAAATGGTGATATGTTAAGTGTACAACTAAAAAAATTTAATTTTTTATTGGTATAACTAATATAAAATTAAAATCTCGAAAAGTGACAACTATTTACATTTTTTGTACAACCAAAAACTAGGGACAACTATTTGAAAAATTCATGAATTTTTATTCATATATTCCATGTGTCATTTTGGCAGTTGCATGTGTTAAATAAAACTGACAATAACGGCGTTGACTATACATTTTTTTTTATTAACATGTGTTTTTTAACGATGACATATATATTTAGTATTTCCTGAACAACTCAGTTGTACATATATATTAAGTTACCCTATTAAATCCAATTGTAAAAAATACTTTGTTGTCCCTAATAAACCCATTTGTACATACAAACATAATTCCATCATATATCACTCGCAACAACAAAAGACACAAACACCAAAGTTTTCACAAATAATATAGTATAAATCAACCCGTTACAAGGTCTTCTTTCACTATCTCTATTACTTTCTCTCCATATTACAAATTCATAGTCTCACTCTCTAAAACTCACGTTACTTCTCTTTGTTCTTTATACCACTGCTCTTCCGTCTTGATCTAAAAATAATAACAAGAATTCAACACTGACAATCCAAGCGATCCAATGAAAATCATGTGACCTTAAGAGTATGGAATTGCTAGATTTAGAATTGTAGCTTTCTTCTTTTATCAATGTATGTGTCACATGAGTGACATCCACGAGCTAATTTAACATTTCTTTTCAATTATTAACCACTAACACATTCGTTCAAGTTAACTGTAATATATGTGGCATTTTGCAATCTCAATGATCTGTAATTTGTTACCAAGTTAGTTCCAATGGTGCCATGAACTCTATATTTAAATGCCAACTTAAGTTTAGTTCCAACGCAATTTGTACCAACTCTCAATCACCTGCTCAATCACCTGAACCCTCTCTCCCCGAGGAAGTAGACTGAAACCTACGATTTGTCAGACGATCCCGATGTGGCCCGCCTAAAATCTTTTGCCAATTAGGTAGACTTTTAGCTTCTGCTACATGTCACATAATTGATGTGTTAGTAGTGAGATTAAGCAGAAGCAACCTGAACCTATACATCAACGAAAATTAAACAAAATTTTTTTTTTGTCAACTCAAAATAATCGGACAAGACTCTTCACTTGCGAATCTTCTTTCCTTCAATTTCAGAGTCTTCTATCAAAAACAGCCTCAATTCTCTTCTTTCTTCGCTCTCGGCATCGCTCATCTCACAACATCTTTTGATTTTTTTTTTTCTCCTGAACAACTCAAAGTTGCATAAACTTTGTATCCTTTTGATTTCGATACCTCTCGCGATGGTGTTTCTTCTTTGTTCTTTGGTGATTTTTTTTCAAAATCAATCCGCCATTACTGCCAAGATTTCGATGCCGGTTCGTGATGCTTTTGTCTTCCATCGATTTCGCAACACGTGAGGGACCAAGATCTGAACCTGTCGGAGAAGGTGACAGCATGGATTGTGAAGATGATGAGCTCGACGGCGAGTTTAGCGACGAAGAACCTAAGGGCGAAGAGGAAGCATATTCTCCTGGAGCCGAAGAAGAATTACTCTCGAGCGGTGAAGCTTGTGGATTGTTGGGGGGGGGGGGGGCCATGGCGATTGGTGAAAGGGAAAAATCAAAGAGACTTCGAAGAAGAAATCAGAGAGAATTTTACAGAATTTTGAGATTTCAACGATGAATGATAGAGACAGAAACAAGAGTTTTCCCATTTTTTAATTTAATCTAAACTTGATCCGGATTTGATTCGAATGGATCACAAATCGGGTGGATATTAGGTGGTTGGATCTGTAATTTCGTTAGTTTTGTCTGGTCTTACTGTAATTACCTTGTTTTCGTATTTAAAAGTAAATAAGAAAGAAAGTCTGATTAATAGGGGAGTATATGAGAAATTGACTTGGTCAACAGAAGTACATGAGACATTCATTCAAGTAAAAGGTTCGACCAGAAACATAAAAAAGTTTCTTAATTTTCCAAAAATGAATACGGTTGCGATTAACCACTTGTTTGGCTTACCGGAGACGATTGAAAAGTTGATTTTTCCGGCTACTAGCTCCGTAATGAGACTCGGGGAGGGAGTAAAAATATTCCGATCGACATTCTGGAATCTTCGAAAGAATATATTTTTATCTCGACATTCCCAAATCTCGAAATTCAGGTAATTGTGGAGGAAGAGAGGACATTGGTGATA